TAGACAAAGCAAAACAATTATAGAAAAAAGAAGCAAAGTTCATTGAATTATAGAAAACCAACCATGTTTGTGTTAATATTTTGTAGCAAGTTTCTTGATATAAGATTCATCATTCTGTCTTCACTTTTGCTCTAAAGCGGCAAAAAGTTCGTCCTTATTTGAATAAGTCTTATCTCGTATTTGCTTATCTAAGGATTCCCTCAGATTTTCAATGGGGTTTATATCGGGAAACTGTGAAGGCCATTTGGGAACTGGTATTTTTTCATCCATAAACAATTCCTTTGCGAGATTTGAAGTGTGCTTCGGGTCATCATCTAGCTGGAAGATTGATCTTGAGGGCATATTGTCTTCCAAATAGGGTAACATGGCATGCTTTAGTATGTCTGTGTATACAAACTTATCCATAATACCATCTAATCTATGTAAAGGTCCCATCCCAAAGCCCGAAAAGCACCCCCAAACCATAACAGACCCGCCTCCATGTTTGACAGTGGGCAAAGAGTACTTGGGGTTCAATCTTTATCCACTAGGATGTCTAACGTAATGAACACCATCTGATCCAAAAATATTGAACTTAGATTCGTCACTGAAATATACCCTCTTCCAGTCACAGATGCTCCAATCAAAGTGCAACCGTGCAAATTGTAATCAGTCCTTACGGTTTTTCCTCGAGATTAGCGGCTTCTTACTCGGGCGACGTGCAAATAACCTCAAATCATCTAATCTTCTACTTATAGTTTTCGTAGAAACGCTGACAATTCCTTTTGTCTCGATTTCGGCTTTTATTTGTCTTGGGATTTTAAACGGATCTTTGGCCGAAATTACTTTTATTAGTCTAACTGATCTAGCATTTAGTTTTCTAGGCCGACCACTTCTCTTAGAGGCTTCTAGGATACCTTTTTGTTAATATTTGTTCAATATTGCCCAAACTGCTTTACGTTTCAGCTTCAAATGTTTGGCAATGTCGACTTGATGTTGACCATCTTTGTATAACTCAATGACCTTAGTTTCCACATCGAAAGAAATTTCTGGACCACGCGGCATGGTCTTAAAATCACTCAACTTATTCCACAATACTTGATGAACACAAACTAATCCTCTTCTGACATGAAACTGTACTAAACTAATGTTGAAAAGAATTTGTCTACATATTTTTGTCCCTAAAAAAGTGCTTATATTCAGATCTGTATTGTGTTCATTGCAGATAATGTAAAAACAAGGAATTAAGTTTTTCTACTAATAACGCATTTGTTCAAGGAGCAAAGTATGAATTTGTTTTCTAAAGGTATTTAGGTAAATATTCATATTTGTCTATATACTTTTGTCCATTACTGTATGTGCGTGCGAGGCAGCCCGTGTCCAGGACGCGTCACACTGGTCTCAAATCAGGGAATCATTGTCTTAGGGTCAATGATTTGATCTAATTTTTATTCTTTAGTCAGCTTATGCTATTACAAATAACTTTTGTGGCTCAAAATTTTATAAAATATGGCCTAATTTTGAAAAAAAGTTTTGGCTAATTTTTTGTATGGAAAAAAGCACACTTGTGCCATTTGACAGCGCACTAATCACGACATTTGCTTCATAAGCACATATTGCAAAAGTCTGCGACCCAAAAAGATAAGGACACTTTAATTTGTTTTTAAAGAAAAACTTAAGTGTACGAGGGTGGTCCCAGAAGTAACCGACCCAACGAAGAAAACACAAAATTTTTGTAAAAAAATGTATTTATTTTTCAACATAATCTCCTTTGAGCTCAATACACTTTCCCCAGCGATCTTCAATATGTTCGATACCCTTGTTATAATAAGATCTGTGATGCTGCTCAAAATAGCCATTAAATGCCGACATCACTTCTTCACCGTTGGAAAATCTTTGACCACTGAGCCATTTTTTTAACTTTGGAAACAGAAAATAATCCGAAGGGGCTAAATCTGGTGAATAGGGTGCATGACGTAGCAATTCAAACTTTAGATCGTTAATTTTGGCCATTGCAATAACGGATTTATGAGTTGGTGCATTGTGTTGATGAAATAACACTTTCTGCTTAACCAAATGCGGCCGTTTTTGCTTGATTTCATCGCTCAAACGCTGCAATAAGTTCGCATAATACTCGCCGTTGATAGTTTTACCTTTTTCAAGATAGTCAATGAAAATTATCCCACGCGCATCCCAAAAAACTGACGCCATAGCCTTGCCTGCAGATGAAACGGTCTTCGCCTTCTTTTGGAGCCGGTTGTCCCTTTTGAGTCCATTGTTTTGATTGTTCTTTTGTCTCGGATGTGAAGTGATGGTTGTCCATGGTTGTGAAACGACGCAAAAAGTCTGATTTGTTGCTGTAAAACTTCGCTAAACAATCGATTGAAACATCTTCACGACACTGTTTTTACTCGATTGTGAGCAATCGCGGCACCCATCCTACACCCAGCTTTCTTATGTCCAAATTTTCAGATAATATGCGATGAACCGTACTTTTTGAAATGCCAACTATGTCTGCTAGCTCGCGCACTTTCAGTCGATGATCATTCAGTACCGCTTTGTGAATTTTCTTCACCATTTCTGGAGTCGTCACCTCATTTGGTCGACCACTGCGATGCTCGTCTTGGCAGCTCATACGGCCTCGTTTAAAATCTGCTACCCAATATTTTACTGTTGTAAACGAAGGAGCACACTCACCCAGAGAAGAATCCAGTTCCGCTTTTAAATTGGTTGGGCTGAGGCCTTTGAAATGAAAGTATTGTACCACATAATAAATTTTCACAAATTCACTGAAAACGTTCAGTATTGATAGCTGCCAAACAAATACTAAATAACGTGGCGTCAAACTTGACACATATGCTTTATAGGTTGCATACTTTCCAATACAATGATATTTTTCAAACAACTATCGCCATCTCTAGGTCAGGCAGGGTACTTCTGGAACCACCCTCGTAAAAGTTAAAAATTACCCATAAACTGGTAAACATTAATAAATTCAGCAAGACAATCGATACCTTTTTTCTTTTAGATTTTTATAAATAATTTTGTGATGACTCATTAAAGTGAATAGGTAGTCTAAATATTTAGTTTCTTCTATTTTCGGCCGAGCTTAACTTGATTATGGAACCTCTAGTGCTTTTAGTTTTCTTATTGCACTTTAAAAAAGTTATACCTTTACCTTTATCTTTTTAGGACGCAGATTTTGCAACAGATTTTTACGGAGAAAATGTCATTCAAAAATGTGTCATGAGTCTCACTTCGGATCCGTGAATAGCGAGCTGTCAAATGGTAGAAATGTGCTTTTTTCCATACAAAAACTGTTTTATTATTATTTTTTGTTCAAAAGTAGGCCATATTTTACAAAGTTAATAACTATCTCATTTTCGAATTTGATTTCCAGCTAGTAGGCGTAGTAAGTAAAGAATAAAAATGTTGGGGTTGGGGCTGCTTGGAGTCCACCTAAGTCGGCCCTGTACAAGACACATTTGAATAGCAATTTGGCATCTCCGGTGCGGGGTGAAATTCTAATCAGTTTTACGAGGGCATTTTTGTAATAACGGAATGATTGTCGTCTGCATGCGCTTTCCGATCTCGTTGTTACTGCCATCTACTTTATTTTGCGACTTTGATAATCCTGTTGGCAACAACTTCCAATATCGTTACACTCATTGGCGGAGAATATCTGGGGACGCTTTTATGGTACTTACGCTCAGCGTATATTGTAATATATTATTATTAGAAGATAAAGTAATTGTAGGGTACAAAGTAATCGAAAAAATTTTTGGAACCCCAATTCTGAACACGAGTTCTGTTTTCTACAAAGTCACAAAAAAATGGATCATTAAATTTTTCTCAAAAAAGTCACATAAGAGAGGATTTGCTTTTTGGATAATATTTCACAGTATTTATCTAAATACAGTAGAAAATTAGATCCAGTATCTATACACGTATTTCCAAAAATTATTACATTTAATCTCAGAACCCCCGGTTGAACCGTCTTTTTCAGATTTACCACTTAGCAACGGTGATCCAAATGTTGAGTTCAACCTCAAAATGAGTTCTTGTTGCACGGCCCGGACTTGGTGGAAACTGAGCTAAGATAAAGTTATATCTGACAACAGTGCATTTGTAGTATAAAAATCGTTGTACGGCATGAAGTCACAAGATGTCATGAAGTAATATGGTGTGGAACAAAGTATTCTTGATTTGGAAAAAAAATAAATTAGGAATATGCAGAATGTATATATAGTATTTGGGTCAAGTTATGAGTTTATAAGGAATGAATATAATAATTGAAGAAAAAGCGTTGTCAGTTTTTTAAACTATCGAGGACAATTTCGCACGTCCTTGTATTAAGGACTTTTATACGTCTGTATGACGACATGCAGTATTGTGAGTTTCCTTGTCGAAAAGGAACTGAAAATAGATAAAATAATGCATTTCTCATTCTACAAAGTAGTTTGATATTCGCAGAAGGCTGGTAAACGGCTATTCGTTATTTAAAGGCTAAATAACTTAAGCACCAATGCTGCCACCACATCTGATTATATTCAATAAATTACATTAACCTAGTAGTCGCAGGTACGTAGGCAGGGCTAGCCCACAGCATTATAAAAAAAATATTACCATTAATTATGTCTTAAGGGTAAACATACGGAGAAATCTATGTATGAAATATACCTAATTACTGGGGGTAGAAGCTTATAAATATGCTACCGCCGAAGAATGGATATACACTATCCCCCCAACGTCCAGAACCCCTATATCTCATATTTTACCCCTCAAAGAAATTTCGAAAATAAGCAGAGAACTCTTTTGACTGATTTTCAAAAACAACAAATCTTTTTCATCCTTGGCGTGGCACTAACCCTCTGTGAAAGTGACGCGACAAGGATTAGCGGACACACCGACAGGCAGATAGACCGACGGAAATGGGTCACATAATTTTTCGTGATGTAGAAGTCATACAAAAATTTTTCGGGATTACAACAGTGGCGTAGTAGGAAAAAATGAAAACACAGCTTGCAGTTACGCAGATATGTATTAATTTAGTTACATTAGCATTCCGCAATCTGCTTGACATATTCAGCAATGTGCTTGGCATTGATACCATAGTATTCAAGCAATTCATCGGGAGTGCCGGACCTAGGCACCCTTGGGATGGCCACGTGTTTCACAAACATATTCCTTTCCTCTGCTACTGCTGACAAAACGGCTTCACCGATTCCTCCTTCATAGTAGTGCTCTTCCACTACCAAGATTCTGCCGCAGCACTGTAACAGTTACATTATTATAGCAACGAATACTAGACCGACTCAATGCTCTCCTCCATGCCAGCATCTGTAGCCAAACTAACGTATTGATATACAAAAACAGAAAACGTGCGTCGTCTGTCCGATAGACAGCGTCAAAGTTTTCTTTTTAAAACATATTTTTTCAGATCTTTTTGGAACCGAAAGTCCGATTTGAATGAAATTTGAAACACATCCGTACATAAATTATAGCAGATTTTTTTCGCAACCCTACTAATGACTCTGTTTTTTTTTATCCAATATATCCTTTTATTTACCTCATTTTTTGTATTGTATGAAAATAGGCCATCGCCCATAATTTTTGAGAAAAAACAAAGTTTTTCGGTTTATACAAAAATTTCTTATTAGATCAGTGTCAAATAAATGTTCTGGGCCAATTCCACCAACAGTCCGTTATTCTCCACCTATAGGGTAACAGCCCGTCAAATACAGCGAATGAGCTTCAAGTTCCAATCAACAAATTTTAGCAACCAATAGCTATGAAATGGTGAAAACAAAATACTGTCAAGGTATGAGATGACATCTTGTCATTGAAACATCATCAGCTTATTGAATATTAAGAAATTACATATAAATCAGTCAAAATTTAAACAAATGTTTGATTTTTGAATAAAATTCATGATTTAATTACTATTGTTGATTTTTTATTCGTTTATATTATTTTCTTCAATTTATATGCGATTTTACTGATTCAAGATTATCTACTGGGTGTTTTTTCCTATAAACCTCTTGCAGATAGCCATTAAGCACCTACTTGATGACTGGCTCTACCAAAAGGTTCATAGATATTGATCGTTTCCAAACATTCATTCATTTACTTGCCGTTCATCAGAACCATTATGGCACCTTAGATTGATATTCCCACAGAACCATTCTGGTTTTTTAATATCCATACATCCATAAAGTTGAATATTTTTCGCTGTTCAGGAACTTAACAAACATCTACACTATATTCACAGCGATTAAGAAATACCCAAATATATGTCGTAGAGCTACCATCGAACCTAAAACCTGCAGAAAAACTAGAAATTTGCAATATTTTTCTTTTTTCAATGAGTACATATTCTGGGTTATATTTATATGTATATTAGACGTTATTTGAATCACAAAACATATACACTGATTTGAAAAACAGCTGATTATCTCCTGATATTTTAAAACTAACCATATCGATAAGTGACACATAATTCTGTGGGATCCGTCAACACTTCGTCCCAGTGGAGCAAACTCTGCCAACTGTCGAAATAAACTTTATTAATTCCAAGTCTTATTTTTGTTTTACTGTGCCTGCTTAGATCAAATCATCAAATAGGGCCAGGAATTATTTGCGCCTGGCTATTTTAGGCCTTCAATAGCTCCTTATTTTAGATCTCTCCTTATTTTGTTTTTTCCACGCATTCATGGAAGAAAGAAAAATATTTTATCGAATATCAATACCGTATACCGTGCAGCAGGCATGCCCGTCACTACTTTGACAGATTGCAGAATGATGTCAAGGTGACAATCGTTATGTGGCAGTTGTTTTTGTTTTTGTCTGAAATAGGTAAGTAGGCTTTGTGTATTCATTTTTATTTTTATAGCGTTTCCAGAATTTCAGATTTCGAAACGATGTCAAGGGCCGGCAGGGGAAAATCTTCCTCTGAGAACTGAAAATCATTAAACGCGCTGCTTTCAGTCTATTTTATTCTATCCCTTGGAGAAGTACAGAATGAAGAAAAGACTACAGTGCTCAGTGGCCACTCAGTAGCTCAGTGCTCGTCTGTAATGATAATATTCAAATACTACTAAAAACCTAAATAGCTTTCTGGCCTTTCAATTTTGAAGCTACCAGTCCTCGCTTACAGATGGTAGCACAGTTAAGGATAGACTCGGGGTATACGGTTACGGATGTTTATGATTCCTCTCAATATCGATATATCGTCATGAAACCATCGATGCGTAAAGATCGATGTTCTACGTCCGATGTATCGATGTTTTCGATACATCAATGTATCGTCTATCGTCACCATCCCTATATTGTATCCCCACCGGTCACCAGTCAAAAACCTTTACCACCAATATTTTATCACTATTTATAATTCTTTTTAGCTCTTATTTTTCAGTAATTACTAATAATTTTAGGTCTATGTCTACAGTAATTGCATTATGCACCTCGGAGATGTAGGGATTAACATGTTTTACACATATCGGTGTTTTAGGATGGGGACGACCATACTGTTTTGATTGCTTTGAAGAAATTCATTAACCCATGAATTTACAACAAATGATTACTATTATGATGTACCTAAAGAGAGATGAAGAATTGGTTGGAATACATTTTATATTCTATTTTCTTGCAAATCCGCACAATTCAACAGGTTTGTGTAGCTATAATGATCACATATACACACAGTATATTGAACTTAACAAATTTCGAGATTGCCATGAATTAACAAACGACCAAACCTGCTGCCAAATTTAACGGCTAGAAAATCGACCTATTATTTCTCCCATTCCCATTCGCTGAGGGGATAACGGATGGTCAAATGTACACCCATAACATAAATCAAAATACATGAAAGTTGTCCTGTTTTCTCTGTACAAAAGCATCATGTTGGAATCAAAAAGTGGTCTTGTTTATAATACAGTCGAATTTTCATGATTTTATTCAACATTTTAATAGAAATCACTGATATTCTGAGACCTTTGACAGCTTCCGTCAAATTGCATTTCGATAAGGTCTTTCCTATTGGTCCATAATATTAATGTTGGTGAAATTGGCCCTTAGTCTATTTTTTATTGTTATTTTGTTGTTTTTAGCACTTGATATACCTACTATGAACATTTTTTTTTCTTGAAAACTAAGCACTTTGGCATGGAGGTAAATCATGTCCAGTCTGCTTATTTTGAGTCTAAAAATATGTAGTACTCCTATGTCTATGAAATATTGGGTCACCCTGTATATGTCAGATCTCTAACGTACGACTAGTTTAAACCTGATGGAGATTCATTCTACTGAGAAGCGCTATGGTGGGACAAAGGACGGTGGAGGTAACCATGGAAGTTCTTCAGGGCCGTTGCTTTGAAATGTGTTCTACGATAGAGCTCTTCGACAGCAGATGCTGCCGGGAAGGTTATGGTGACGACCTAGCAATGATGGTGGCCAGCAAGGAGAAACGTGCATTAGAAAGGCTTTTAGGTGATGGAATCAGAAGGATTACCATATGAATGGAATAGAACTTCACTAGTTGTTAGGGATTTAAGTATCAAGACCTTAAAATGGCCAAAAACATATAAGGCGCACCACTTATAAGGCAAATAAAGTCATTGCATCTCAGATTCGGCTAATGACATCTGAGACGCCCTAGTAGGGAGAAACGTAGAATCTTAGTTGCGTTGGAAAACACAATCATGCTGTAGGAACCATCAGTTTACAGCAAGGTTTTGAGGAAGACGAGATGCTCTAAAAGCCAGGATGATGTCTACACATGGTTTGTTGGCGGTGGCAGGTATTCCACCGTTGAATCGCGCTGGTTGAGAAAAGATGAAGGGCGCTGGAGTCAAAGACATCGCAAATGAGATGCTATATATTAGATGATAGGAGAGAAGGATTGTAACTGGTCATGGTGCATGTATTAGAAGACTAATCTGGAGTGACAACTGCGCACGACATATAGAGTACAATTTCTCACAGAACATGGTTGTTTTGACAGCTACATAAAGAGTGTCGGTGTATGCTGTAAGGAGGAAGGTACGCCTGCTAATCTACTTGGGTATGGTGCATGAGTTGTCTGTCAGAGATAACTAGAATTGAAACCCCGCGAGAGGCTTGATGCTGACAACCCTACCAAGCATCTGAGCGAGGACAAATGGGTTGACATTCAACCAGTGCAGTAATCGGCTTTGCGACGATGAAAATCAGATGACGAGCATCTTTGGCAGGAATATTTGCAGCATTTTATCATGGTGGGATTTGTAACGAACGACAGAAGGACTTTACTGAGTAAGCTACGTTTTGAAGAATCTCACACTTCGGGCAGAAAAGGCTCACAAGACAGTGCTGTCGAGTTTCTGGAGGAGGAAGTATAAAATCTTTACACTGTCCAAATTAAAAAATAGGTCGGTCTGACTAAGCCGTCCTTATACCGAGGATGCCGTATTTGCCTTGTTACTTGGGAGTGATAGGAAATTTGTATTTTATAAAATAACTTAGTAACTAAGTATGTTACTGCATCCCCTGTAGAAAGTAGCGAGACAAAGAAGGCTTGAAATCTACGGCAAGGCAAAAGATACGCCTCAGATCGAACACGGTTGCCTTTCTCCTTTAGGAATATTTGACAACTATGTCACCTGCATTTTTCAATATTGCCAAGGCAAATAGACCGTCCTTGACATAAGAAAGCTTCCAGTGGAGGTACGATCATCCGTTCAACGTTATAAGAAGTATATCTAGTGGGTTTCTATAGCGAAGTGAGCCGAGTTTATTTTTACCTCCTTAGCATTTTTGACGATTCCGCACTGGTCGATGGGTTTGATGGTGAACGGATCCAGGACTCTTATTTTGATTCCGCTTTTGGCCAGGATATCATGTGCACCAAGTGCTTCGATTAACGTTACACCAGCACCTATTACAAGTACTTTATCATCGCCACTGCTCTTCAGAATATGGGCTTTTCCAATCTGAAACAAAAAAAAATTTCATCGAACTAAAATTATAGCGAAAATTAGTAAAAAAGCTTCTGTGATACAAAATCTTGTCAAAAGTTCCCCAAAAGCTGTTGCTGTGGACGACTTTAGTTGTTGTTTCTGGTAAAACGTAATAGTGATGTTTTTTAATTTTACGGAACATCTAAACGAGCAACATTTGTGGTCCGGATATATATCTGGGCTTTATGAGCTATTTCGTGGCATTATCGCCTGCAGCGTATACAGATACGCACCTTGTCAGAATTTCTCATCTGAGGTGTTATAAAATCAGACAAGAATGGATCTCAAAATTGCACGCGTCGCGACAGCTTACATTACTTTCATTGCATTTATGAACTGTAATTAGCATTAACATCTATCAGAAATTAAAAATAATCAGGTATTGATGAAATTTCTTTAAAAAACTCAATTCTGCGGAATGAGGGAAAAAGTGATAAGAATAAAAGTAATGACTCATTTCATTCTTCCACAAAAGTGGAATATCCATATACAATTTCAGAGCTACACTAATATCAGTGCATTTTTTGACAGAAAAGTTGTAAAAGATCGCTTGATTAATGATTCAGAATACTGCTGCAAATAAGTAGTTGAAAAAATAGCGAAAAAAGGGGCTGCAATCTTAAAATCTTAATTTTGCTTTCAAAAACAAAAAATTATCATGGATGCTATTTTCAAATCACTCCAACACTTGTACAAATGTAAGCGATACACAATTTTCAAATGCTCTTTTCGTGACTGTTCCAAACCTTTTGATTGTGTTAACCATACTATTGAAAAAAATTAACATATATGGTTTTGCTGGAGCTTCACCCAATTGGTTTGAAACATATTTAAATATTCGATACCAAATTATAATAACATCAAGATATTATACTTCAAATAAATTAAATATAAAAACAGAAGTACTTCAAGGATCAGTATTAGGCCCGATCTTATTTTTACTTTATATTAACGACTTCATAAATTTAAACATAAATAGTTAATTCATAGTCTTTGCTAACGATGCCACATCGCTGGCAAAACACAAATATAGCTAAAATGAGGTAAAAAATTGACAATCAAAAAATGGTGTAATACCAATTACTTAATTGTAAATGTTACTATGACCAAAGCTATGATATTTAAATGCTCCCTCGATTCAGTAATTAGTGATTTGTGCACAAAACAGGCATCATCAATTTTTTAGGACTGACCATTAATCATAAATAAAATTTTAATGATCATGTAGATGAATTGCTTACTCAACCAACAAAGTTTTTCTTCATCATATGAATAATTAGTCACAACGTAGCGAAAATCACAGCCTTAAACAGTTACTTTGCCTTATTTACGAGTAGATTGAAACATAGCATTCCTTTTTGGTATGTAACCAAAATTGTTTGAAAAAACCACTCCTTCTACAAAACCAAACTGTTGGACACTATATATAACTAAAATCAATACTTTTAACATTAAAATAATCATTGTTTATTTTAGAAACAGGAACTCTTATTTTTGAAAACAAATCTTAATATCAGATATCAAGTATAAGTTACTGTATTAGACGAAAACAAGGTCTCAAATTAGTAGTACCTAAATCAACACCTGTGGCAGAGTCAATCATTTATAAGGATCTGAATTTCACAAGCGTCTCCCTGATGATATCAAATGAATCAACAATTTAAAGATATTTCGCCGCGAACTTAAAAACTTTCTAATTTGTAAACCATATTATACCAAGTGCGAGTTGTACAATTAATTTACTTGTGATCCACATATGTAGGTGTAATTTTGTTTAGTCATTAAGAATAACTATATTGTCCAGACAATAAAGGATATTCATCAATCTATATATCTTTTATTAAGTAGGATTCCAATAATTCAGAAATCTGAAAGCAACATGTGAAAATAGGTCGGAAATGTCAAAAATGTGCAGTATGGCTGAGCAGTATAAAAATAGCCCATATGGAAGCGCTAGTAGAAACGTTTGCGATGGTAGTCAGGCTGATGAATTCTGTTTTCGGTTCTCCGTAGAACCACGCCCTAGCTATAAAAAAAGTAATGTAGGAACAGTCTCTCTACAGTGAGCGGGGCCAAAAATTTTTATCAAGACAATTTTTATCAAGAAATTGTGGCAGACTTCTCAAGACATTCAGCGGAGTAAAAAAATGTTTTCTCTTAGAATTAAGGTGAATGTGCCTAATCTATCTCGCGCCAGATTTCGCTTGGACTTGTAATAATGTTCTGTTTATTTTTTATGTTCTGCTCGCTATATGTATAAAATGTTGAGGAACTACTTCTATGCAATCCGTGGATATAAGTTTCCTTGACTTTGTGAACACGCCCTCAATTTCTGCAAAAAGGCATTCAAGTATCCATGTTATGCTTATAGGTATTCTTTTCATGATATTCTTCAAAAAACCTTCCGACCCAGAAATAATATCAATACATTTTTGCTGGCAAAATGGGTTGTAAATGCACTTACAGCAAATTTGGTCTCATTAGGATATATGACAGGGGTTGCAGGCCTGTTTGTTCTAATGAAGGTCAGCCCCTTAGTGTTTGCTGCCAGTTCGACAGCTCTTTCTAGAGATACTGCGTCGGATGGATAGAACACTGTGGAGGTTGGGATTGACCTGAACATGGCCAAGTCTTCCAAAGCCATCTGGCTGGGACCATCTTCTCCAATCGAGACACCACAGTGGGAACCACAAATGTTCAGGTTGGTTTGCGAAATAGCGCCCATGCGAATCTGAAAAAAAAAGAACGTAGTATGAATCAAGCTAAATAAATTTTTGCATATTATTCCTGTTAAACCTAAATATCGATATTGGGGAAAATTATTTAAAATTAACATCAAGCTTCTGCTATGTTTTTTACAATAAGGCCATTGATAATTTATCGATTTTGAAAGTGCATCGGAATAGGAGCAGTTGTTACAAAGACTACGCGGTTACAGACACGCCAGCAGAGACAGAATGGATGACAAAAAGTCGGATGAAGCTGAGGAATATGGACTCGTAATATAAGTAATATGAGGGATCAAAGGTACTTACCAGAAATTTGTGCAATTTATATACTTCCTTCGCATATACGTGGAAAATATATAATAGACTCAGTTGACAAAAACTATATTTTAAAAATAGTACCTGATCGAAAGCCCTGGTGAAGAAAGCTGCAAATGTGGATGCAAAAGCTACAGTACGATCCCTGCACGCAGCTCCAATACCCACACCAACCAGGTTCTGTTCAGCAATATAGCATTCAATGTACCTCTTTGGATCAAATTTTTTCATTGCCTCGGAGAATGTGGAGTTTTTCATGTCACCATCCAAAGCAATTACTCTAAAACAAAAAAAATTATCACTTTGCATGTTTCATATCATAATTTCAGTTAAAACAAAACAACGAGGTACGCTGTCTTTATGTTCTTTATCTTTATCTTTATGTTCTTTATATCTTTATCTTTATGTTTTTTTGTGTTGTCATCCGTTCAGTATTGGTTCTTGACTGTTTGTTAAACCAATATAGCGCGGATTTATCAATTGATTGTATTTTTTCCTCTTTATTATTAGCTCACATAGTTGAAAGCCAGATCGATGTATTTATTTTTAGGTTGCATGTGAATTGTAATAATAATTAAAATTATATACATTTTTAAGCACTCAATAGGGTTGGGTGTAAGAGTAGCCATCTTCCTAAACTTCGCCCTATTGTTGTGTTGCTAATAAAGACATTTATTATTATTATTAAATTCAGTGCCAGAAAGCCATTCTAAGTCAGGACAAGGCCTAAATGCTCCGTGGTGAATAGGTTAAAGTGAAAGACACGAAATTACACCGCTATAAAAGTTGTGGAGAGCTGCCGAAATGGGCAATGGGACACCCCGTAATATTTTTGTATAAGAAATCGATTTTGAAAGCGTAACAGACAATAAAGGTGAAATGTTATTGGACGTATATGTTTTGAAACAGCGAACTTTGAAGTATATCAACAAAAAATGTTTTTCGAAATTCATAAAAACTTAACAATAAGCTGCAAAAAATTCGATCAAATCGTTGCTCAACTTTTTCAAGCATTCTTGTTTATGTACAGTGGATTTGCAATGTAAGTTTCACAAAACATATAAAAACGCAGTCTACTCAAAACAAGTAAAAACGTATTGTTTGGCTTTGCTCTGAAAGCATGACTTTCCAAGATGTAAAGTGTGATAGGAAGGACTAGCAAAAAAAAAGGAATTATTTACTATGTTTAACCAATTTTCGCCCGTCACCAGACTGAGACATATCTATGCTCATATACATCTTGACTAGAAATTTCAGCCATTTCGGAAACATCCTCTTCAAAATCAAATTTAATTATGGTAAAAGAGGCTTGCTTCGATTTCCAAAATATACACCTAATATTTTGCACCTCCCCTAATTAAACTTTATTTCTCACTTACCTGTTATTCTGCTGAGCAAGCTTCACCAACGCTGTTCCATATGCATTCCTAGTAGCAACTTTCTCACCAACTTTGTACGATGGAGGAGAGGCTAGTTTCAAGTTGCTGATGTCTGCAGGTGGTAAAGATTTTGGCTTGGGAATGGTAAAGTTCAATTTACCCTGGCATTGTAACAACGAGTACAAATGTTTTAGCACCTCTTCGGTTGCTTTTCCCAATGGTTTGCCGTGATGGTTTTCTTTGTCTTCAATGCCGGGGAAGTCTTTACCCTCAAATGGAAAAAAAAATTAGTATTTAACAATTCTATCATTTATTGATTAGGTGATGTTTTATCTCTCTGCCTTATTCTAATTCAGTCTAGATTCATACGTCATTTTTCACTCTGCGACAAAACAAACATGACACACACACACCCTCCTACCCTGTGCGATCCCTCCACCACCCCTGTTCCAGGCGACCTCAAACCCTTGAGGAGTGGGGGGAAGAGCAATCTGCTCGTCCCTCCTCTTCCGCCCGAAGGCCTAGCGTGGCGCTGCATGGTTCAGGCCGCTGCGCATTTCCCGAGTGTGTGCTGCCGAACGAGCTAACTCCCCTCCCGAATTTTGCCCCTTTTTCCCGAAATTTGACTCGATCGCGCACGCGTCGCGGAAGCACGTGGTGGACGTTTCTTCCAACTGTCGGTTCTCGACTTTTATGAACGGCCTCTTTCTTGGGGGTCCTGCGCTGGGGGCTTTGACGTAAGCCCCGCATTAAGGTTGGTGAGCCTTTGCTCTTTCCTCGTCGACTGGAGTCAGTCAGTCGTCGCAAGTCAGTCATTTGCAGTTTGTCATTCGTCTCCTGAGGTTAGCCCCGAGTCCGTGCTTGACTCTGGCCATCTCAATCGACAGGCTTCTTCTTGTCCACCCGTTGTACAAGGGCTGTTCTTTCCCCTCTTGGGTGTACAACTATTGTCGGTCTTCTCCCCTTTTCTTTGGCCTCATCAGCTGCTAGGACCAAATTTCTTCTTGTTGCTGCTGGCTTTTCGGTCTTTTATGACGCCTTATTGTACTTGGGTCGTAATCCAAGGCGTCTTTAGTCAGCACATTTCGATGTCTTTCGTTCTTTTCAAAGAACTTTCGGGCCCTCTCTTTCATCTGGATTACGACCGGTACCTGTCGTAGTTCGTCATATAGCACTCTGTTAGGTACATACCACGGTGCGTCCACCGCCTCACGGAGTGCTATGTTTTGTTGAGCTTGGAGCGTCTTCTTCATCGTTTTGGAAACGTAGCCCCAAGCTACTGCTGCGTAAGTCATCATTTGAATCATGATGGTCTTATTCTTTAAGGACACTTTGCTTCTTCTGCCTGTTAAAGGTCTTAGTCTGCAGCGTGCCATCGTCACTTTCTGCACCTGGCCCTCGACATGGTTCTTCCAAGTGAGTTTTTGGTAAATCTTGACTCCAAGGTCCTTCCAGTCGACTTCAACTTCTTCGTCTCTTCTCCAGCCTCTCTCCATTCTGGTGGTCGTCATCTTTATTTTGGTTTGAGGTAATCTTCGATTTCTTCGGAACAGTACCGCTTCAGTCTTCTCAGGGTTGAGACGGATCTTCCACTTGATGCATCATTCCTCTAGGTTGGTAGTCGCTCGTTGCAGATATTCCGTAACCATGCGGGGTCTCGTACTTTCTGCCGCATATGCTGTATCGTCCGCATACACATACAGTTGCGTTTGTGGAGTCTTCGGGATGTCTGAACTGTAGATTGCATACAGCAGGGGTGATAGAACCGCTCCCCGCGGTACTCCTGCCTCCACAGTCCTCGTCGTCGAAGTTGCTTTACCAATCCTAATTCGGAATTTACGGTGCTTCAAATATGACTTCACCAGTTGGATCATCCCCGTTGAGTATCCGAGGTCTACCATCTTGTAGATTAGTCCGTCATGCCAAACAGTGTCGAACGCCTTAGCGGCATCCATGAACACAGCTCCCACGGCCCGCCGAGTCTGGAACGATTTCGTTGCCATCTCAACCAGCCTTAGGACCTGGTGCTCTGCTGAATGTTCGCTTCGGAATCCGAACTGTTCGTCTGGAACTACTCGGAGTTCTTCTCCTCAATCTTCCTTCGATTACCCTTTCCGCAATCTTGCTCAGTGCCGTCAACAGGCTTATGGGTCTGTAGTTTTGGGGGAACCTTGGGTCTTTCCCAGGTTTTGGTATGTTGATCACTTCGGCTACTTTCCAGTGATCTGGAAAGTATCGGTGTCTCTCAGTATGGCGTTGACAATGTTGGTAATTGCCATTATTGCTTTCCTCGGGAGTCTCTTCAAGACTCTGTTCCCAATTTCGTCTACACACGGTGCTTTCTTCACCTTGAGTCTTCCGATGATTTCCCTTACCTCGCCTGGAGAGGTCATGTCTTCGATGGCTCTTCCTCCTCTTACAGCTCTCCTCGATCTTCTTATCACCTCGTCGATGAAGCCTTCGTCTTCATGGGGGTGAGTATTGAGAGTACACTGTCTCTGAAGGTTGTCAGCAAAAGCTTCTGCCTTCTCTTCGGTTGTGTACACCATCCCCTGTTCGCTGTGTATTGGGGGGATGGGCTGTCTTCTGTTTCTGAGGATTTTAGCCAAATTCCAGATTCCTGGATCAGCTGGAGATAATTCTTCGAGTTTCTTATCCCAGGTGCTCTGATGATGCTGCTTCAAGGCGTCTCTTGCCTGTCTTGTCAGTCTGTTTGCCACCATGATGTCCGTGGGGTTTCTGGTCTCCTGGGCTACTCTTCGGGCTCTATTTCTTTCAGTGATCTTGCAATTTTCCTCGTCAGGTAAGTCCCTGACCCTGTTTTTTTGCGTTATGTCTTCCACGGTGGTTGCGGTTTCTAACGCAGCCTTGATCTTCCTTTCTAGGTCCGTGACCGCTTCCTCTATGTCTTCAGGGCTGTCAATCTGAAGTAGTGGTCCTAGTGAATAGTGAGGTGAGGAAGATGGGGTTGTGGTCTCGAACGTCGCTTTTATTCCCTTGTCGATGTCACGCCCAGGCATTTATGGCTCGCGGAGTACGCGATATTAAACATCATGCGCTGACATTTTTGTTGACGGAAAGTAAAGGTAGTTTGAATACACTGTATATGCATCAACAGCTGACCAATAAGATGTCTCCTTTGTCCTTAGGATACGTTCCTGTCGATGATGCCTTACTGCAATATGTGCTCACAACAATATTCAGATTCGTTTTTTTTGCATAATCGTATTCAAAAGGCTTAGAGCCTATTTTGAGGTTTCGCCCTTTATTATATAGCCTTTATGTTCTTTTAGTACTAGGCGAGCATCTATGGAAAACGGGACGTAGGGTAAAATGCAATGCAATACTACATTAAGAAGATAACAATTACAAAAGAAGGTAAAGGAATCAGGCCATATACGATTAAACAATTGTCTTTCTAGTTCGTCTGTCAACTGTGACTCAATTTGGTTAAATATACTTGAAGAAAATATTTAATTAGTATTCTCGAACCTAACTAATGAACAGTGCGTTTTTTATCCAGGTTCCTTCTCATGCTTTGTTGTTGGATATCAAACGTGCAGATGTTCTGCTTTACCATCTCAAGGCCAAACTGCTGTGTCATGTTATTTTCTCACATGGCTTATTCTAGATGTCAAAGTAGTATTTCTCGCGCTTCAGATCCAAAATAATGCACTTGCAATATACGTATAGATAGGAGTAGTAGTAGTAGTAGTAGTAGTAGTAGTAGTATACATTTAAATTCCCCCAAAATACAATGTGTTAATAAATACAAATGCTAACTTCAGTACAATAATAAACGTAAAATAAAACATAATACCTGACTTTCACAAAATAATCTTAAGTTAACATGTTTTATAAGTCACAGAAAATTTTTAAATTGTATTGTAAAGACCATTGACACCAAAATAGTTTGTTGTGCATGGGCAGATTTTTTTTGGTACAATTTTGATAATAAATTTTACTTAGAGCAGGATTTAATACAACAAGCACATTGTAGGTCTGGAAGGTAAGGAGGAGTAGCACTTATATAATAAAGTTTATTCCACTAACTACAGAAATATGGATATGATTTATAGTAAATAATTTCTACTAGATTTCGTGTCTCCTGTCTACCAATTAAAAAAATATATTTTTTAAATAAAGATTTTATCAAAAACAATGAGTTTATTTTATCAAGATACTTAGGGTACATGTATGGCAAACAATTATAAATTTTACATAATAGGTAGCTGTGGCATCGCAAGCTTAAATTTCTTTGAAAAGTTTGTATTTTTAAGTTTTCATTTTCTTTAGATCTAGTACTATAAGCATGGCTAGTTTTATTGAAGTTGTTTTTGTGTTTGTATAAGAATTGAATTAATTCATGCAGAGACAGTTGCCTTAGGTCAAACACTCCAGTCTCTGAAAATAATTTATCAGAAGGATAAGTATTTTTTTGCCAGATATTACTTTCAACATTCTTTTTTGCAATATATCCAGAGGCTGCAAATGACAATATGCTGCACTTCCCCAACTCAAAATAGCGTATCGTAGACGTGATTCAACTAACGAATAATACAACATTTTCAGGTGCATGTAGTCTATGAGATGTTTTAAGTATTTAAAGCGATATAAGAGTTGTCATAAGGTGTTTGTAATTTTAGCTATATGAACATCCCATCTCAAGTAGCGATCAATGGTGACACCTAAGTATTTATAATTTTTCACAGATGTTAAAGATATACTTTGATTTATTAGTTGTTCATACTGAGGTAGACAACGTACTGTATTATAAAAATGCATAAAGAATGTTTTCTCATAGCTCACGGTTAAAAGTTTATGAGCAAAATAATCAAAAAGAGCTCGTAGATCCCGCCCTGCTTTCATTTATTCATTTTCCCAAGTGCTATCATCATACAGGACTGCCGTATCATCTGCAAAGCTAAACACTTGACCAACTGACAAAGAAGTTAGAATGCTGTTTATGTAAATTGTAAACAAGATTGGACCCAACACAGTACCCTGAGGTAAACCGTAATCAAACTGTCTTTTCATTACTGAATGTGTCACTAATCTTCACTACGAGGGATGTCTTTTAAGTTTTGCACATGGAAATAAAACAACACGGTATGTAGTTTTAAATGACTTTATTGTTTTTCAAAGTATTCTCCACGAAAATTAATACACATCTGCATGCGTTCGAACCAATTTTCGAAGCACTTATTCCACTCGTTTGCTGGCAGATCCAAAACGGCATTTTTGAATGCATCAACTACTTCTTCTGGTGACTGGAACCTTTGACCACGCAGTCTGTTTTTAATTTTCGGGAAAGTAAAGAAATCTTTAGGACTTAGATCGGGACTATATGGAGGATGGTCCAATAATTTCACGTTTTTTCCATTAAATACTGCCTTGTTCTTTGGGCAGTGTGCGTGCTTGAATTGTCTTGGTGGAGGATGATTCTGCTTTCGGGGTTGATTTTTCGAAGCTCGGTGATGACTTTTGGCAAAAAGATGGTGGTATACCAATTCGCAGTAACACTTCTTTGCTCATTAAGAGGAATTGTTGTAATATGACCCGGTTTTGACACAAATGTCGCGACCATCTTTTTCGAAACACTTCGAGAACGGATGACTTTTGTTGGTTTTTCTTCACCTTGGAACACCCAAACAGCCGACTATCGTTCATTTTCTGGTTCATAATAGTAAATCCACGATTCATCACCACTGACAATGCTGTACACATTTTTTGAGTTTCCAGAATTGAAACGGTCAAGCGTTTGTTGACACCAATTAGCACTGGCTGCTTTCTGCTCTTCAGTCAACAGGTGGGGTATCCAACGAGAAACTAATTTTCTTACTCCTTATTCTTCATGTAAACTTTTTGAATTGAGGTCTTTGAGATCTTTAAGGACGTCTCAATCTCGCGATACCCTGGGATCGTCGCTAAGACTCACCCGTCGACGTTTCAATTCTCCATACCAACAAAAAATTGTCGACTGATGTGGCGCTTCGTTGCCGAAAACAGACAGTAACTCAGCATTCTTGTTGCGATAATTGTCTCTGAAGGTTGTAATAAATTATGGCGCGAAAATGTTCTCGGTTGAGTTAAATTTTTCTAATGACTTGGTGACACTTAGAAATTCACTGTAGTGAGAACACTGCACGTATCGTTGTGAAACTTTGAATTTAAGTTTACTAAAGAGTGAGGTTAAGATTCAGTACTGACGTTCGATCCGCGCGGCCTACTATGTTTCTATATGCAGAACTTAAAGGACATCCCTCGTACTTGTTTTCGATTTGAGAGATAGCTTGTAAACAACTGTAAAGGTCCGCCTCGTACTCCTGCATCCTACAAGGTCTCCAACATCTGCTGGTGATTCGCAATGTCGAAGGCCTTGGCAAGATCCAACAATACGCACTGTACCTGTGTACTCAATTCTAATCTTTTTCTAATCCCTTCTTAGCAATTGCATCTTTGGTTGATATTCAGTCCCGAAAACCGAATTGCTTATCTGAAAGATATTTGGATTTGTCCAAAAATTTAACTAGCCTATTTTTCAACGTTTTCTCAAATATTTTAGTTATAATTATGATGACAGATATTGATCTATAGTTATTTATACTTTTTACATCACCTTTTCTATGAACAGGTGTAACTAAAACTACTTTGAACCCTTCTGGAACTTCATTAGAAATATATATCCGGTCGATTAAGTGACATAGCTGCATTGAAATAGTGTCAGCAGTATATTTAAATATTTCGGACTACAAGTTGTCAAAATCGGGCGATTTTCCATTTTTTAATGTGTTAATGATTGAGGTTACCGCCTCTAAGAAAAACGTACTGTGATTTATTTTCCTTTGCGGTCTATGTTTGTTTGGCCTCACAATGCGTTCAGCATCAGAGTATTTGCAAATATTTACAAAGAAATCATTAAACTTATTCGAAATTGTTATTGGCGAATCACATAATTTATTTTCATCAACTATTGTTGTTTTATGAAGACGGACGAGGGTGACGTATCTAGTACATTAAAACCGACCGATATCATGCTAGCTTGTCATTTTGGAGGGCTGGACGTCCTTTTTGGGAACGAGAACGGCTAGCCCTGCTAGTTTTGCATTGTGCTACCTTAAAATTTGGAATGATCGCTTCTCAGCATGTTACGTGACTTTGAGACTATTGTATAGATATGTGATAATTAAAAAAAAACAAACGAAGTATCATCTGGAAGACAGATAAAAAAAATATTTACATTGTACTAAAGAAGAATACTTTTGCGATTGAAACGTTTACAGTATAGACGATTCTGTCAATACATATGGTTTTATTGGCCAGGCATGCATGGGAGATTATATTTGCTGTTGCATTTAATACTTACTTTGAATGTCTTTGCAAGTATAGCTGTAGGCTTTCCTTTAGTCGCCGCTGCGCAATCGAATGCCTCTATCAGTTCTTCGACGTTATGGCCATCAACCACAATTGTATTGAAGCCAAAGGCATCAAATCTCTTTCTGTAGGTTTCCATGTCATGTCCAATCATTGTCGGCTCAGACTGACCCAATCTGTTGGCGTCAAGAATGACCACTAGGTTGTCCAGTTTGTAAAAACTGGCGAAAGCGATGGATTCCCAGATTGAACCTTCTGCACTCTCTCCATCTCCAATTAGACAGTATGTCCTGGAAATATGATCACTGAAGGCCATTGTGAAATTTTAGAATTTTAGACTGTTTGAAAAACTCTCATTTCGTGCGCTCAGTGGAATCCAACAGGCAAAAGCATCTTTAAATACAAGACGTTCTTGAAGATGGGGCTTTCCTTAACATAGCGCATATTTCTTGTAAATTTTCCTAGTCTCACATGGTCCTAAAGTCATTAACTTCCAAAGAAGTACTGCGATGTCAAATCCGGTCCCTGCATCTTACAAATGATGCAGTGAGAAGATATAGCGTGAGTCAGTATCGAGCCCCGGCATTGCCCACCGTATAGGTAAACCGGACTGTTTGTTTAGAAATCGGATTCGAGAAAACCGGCACAAATTTCTTTCAAGTGTTAGATCTACCGTGATCTTTTGCCCTTCCGAAAACAACAATTTTCGATTCTCATTTTTATTTGACAGGTATTAGGCTTATCAGATCTACCACTACATCGATAGTGTATCCATGGCTACTAATAAGGTCTATCCATGACATTATATTTTGTATGAATCCGAACAAGAAAGAAACAGTTCGGAGACATGTAAAGATTTATCGCAAGTATTTAGTGAAAATCTAGTTTCTAAGAAAACATGCAGAATATGCTTCTGAAACGGGTGAATTTGAACTTCCCGATAAATCATGCTTTGTGCGGCATTGGTCACGTTGACACCGTAGGTAACCAATGGATCAGATAACGTATAGCCACGGTGTAAATGGGTACAACAAAAAATTTATGAATAGAACTATGGTGCACCGAGGTTATTTAAGTGCTGTGTGAACATGCAGATTCGTTTATCGACACGATGTTGTCAAAACGTATTAATGCAGGATCCTTTTTTAATAACATTAGGTATCGTTGATTTTCCCAATCCAGCTGAACAAACTATTTCTGACCAAATTTGGAAATTAGGATTAGTGTAAGAAATGGGTGCCACATGATTTTGAACCTTTCTTGGATCGGCAAATAAAAGAGGATGGAATTGATGGAAAAGCTGACTTTGGAGAGATATTGTCACCATTGAGATAATTTGAAGACAGTGCATTTAAAAGGGCACCGACTTTAAGTAGAAAGAACAATACTACTGCATCATGATGCCAGACCACATACTGCTTTGGAGACTCAGCATAAAATCCAAGAGATTCTGTGACATTCCCCATATTTTCCAGACCTCGCAACTTCCAACAGTCACCAGTTTTTAAAATAAATCAGATACAAGCACTGAACCAATTTTTCGTACCTATAGATAAGACATTCCATGAAAATTAAATATAAGAAGTCATAAATAAATGTTGATGAAATTTCGACTTTCAAAGTCAAAGGTATGAAAAAAGTCTTATTTTATTTGAAGTTTAGATTTTTCCGAACACCTAATAAAACTTTTCCTTCATTTATTTGACTTACTCGTATTGGCTGCTGCTTTGTCACATATTAACTTAGCTACTACCGAAATAACTGAGACACTGAATTTGCATTACTTTTAAACCGTGACCAATTCAGAAACCGCTGAATGGATCGATCTGCTGTCATGCAGGGTTATTCGGAGTACATTGAGGTATACAAAACTCAAAAACATTAGCCTTACCATTAGCAGATCAAAAAATGCGGTCGATTTTCCAAATGCTAAGGAAGCAAAACAAATTCCCTCAGAGATTCCATTCCAAGTCAGATATCTCCGCTCCAAATGATCGTATCGAGATTTTAAAAACAGGATATTAAAGCTGAATAAACTAAAAAGAAGAATGCAAAAATTTTCTTGTTGTTCCTAAAACTATTTATCGGCTGAACACCTGGAAACTATAATTATGAAAATTCAAACTGCTTTAAAGTCTAGATATACCGAAATGCCTGTCAAATATAACCGCGAAATTTCTTGCTCCCTTAATTTTTTTGACTAGTGTAGTTCAAGCGCAGATGTTTCTAAGAAGGAAAGTCCCAAATTTCAGGACTAGATATTTGTATCTTCCTGTAAAAGTTTCTATTCATTCTAAAAAATTCATCGCGAAAGATGTAGATGCTACGTACTTGAAGTCAGCATTATCCAAGTACTTGCCAACGTAAGCCATGCCATTGGCAATGGCAAGTCCCTGGCCAAGTGATCCTGTTCCTACGTCTACAAAGTTCAGTCGTGGAGTTGGGTGACCTTCAAGGTTATTTCCTAGTCTCCTCAAATTCTTGTTCTCCGAATGAGGAATGAGCCCATTCTCCATCCAGCAAGCGTACAGTGCTGGAGCCGCATGACCCTTTGACAGTACTAAACGGTCACTGCCAGGATCTCTTGGCTCATCTACCTTGTACCTCATTACTCTGAAGAACAACACCGACATAATCTCGGCTATGGACGAACATGTTGTTGGATGGCTGCAATCAAAAAACACAATTAGACAAAAATTGTTTATTTTAGAGGTGCTATGACATAGATGCTGTTTTGTAGTGGCCGATTCTAATGCAGGTACGGAGCGAGGAAGGGGCAACGGTGCCATTGCCCCCTCCCCTCATAAAGTTGCGGACTTGCAGGAAAAAAGAAGGAGGGAAGGATTTCCTTCTTAACTAATTTATAATAAACGACATGAAAATACCCCCTGAAAGTAGGCAACCCACTCTACCTCTCCCTTCCCCCAAAATAGGTGATTCTGGATCCGCACCTGCTCTAGCGATAGACGGAGCTTCAGCTTCGCGCTGTCTTATTTTGGCAGATCACACTTTGGATAGTGTTTAGTTGCTATGCTTTGACTCGTCCGAGAGAGACCATGCTGAGGAGTAGCCAAAAAGCGTTAAACAGCTCTTCACCGTTGCCTGCGCGGCTAGCTAATAATCTGTGATGCGAAGCTTGACATAACACATTAATTTCAGTTGGCGAGAGCTATTTCAGCGTTTTTTAGGTAAAAATTAGTCTTTCTGTACATTTATTTGTTGAATTACTTGTTAAAACTAGATTGTTTTTAATATTGTAGAAAGTCACTAATCCAATATTTGGACAGTTAAAATGCCTTCTTGTTGTGGTATTATGATGTTCAACAGTAACTCAGTAATTCTAGTCGATTCAAACGAAAGTTTGTTGAAATCAAGCACAAAAGCTGTCAATAACACTGAAAAATATAAAATGAACTACGCCAACATGAAACACCAGCGAAACATGTGACATCACATAAGCATGACCTATAAATCGAAATTTCGAAAGCTCCGCACATTGATACATATTATCTTTGTTGAGAGGATCAGAACTTACGGTGGTCTGTATCAGCAGTATTTACTGATCATTCCGTTTGGATTTCTAAGTAATCTAATAATTGCTGGCAAACTGGCTACACGGTCAGTAAATATCGGATTCCATGATGACTACTGATGGATCAGAGACAGTATTGATCATGTGACATTCGCCTAAAGTGAATTGGGTAAACTAGATTTACTAAATAGACGCACGATTTTTGTGTTATTATGAAGAGAGGGATGAGCTGACGGTGAATGAACTTTGTGCCGATTGAGACTTTGAGTAAAAAGATCATAATGTACGGCATGCTGCGAATCCACCCAAACCCACCATACCACCTTTTCCGTATCTTTTTTTCTTCAAAAAAATAGTCATTTAGTAGATTTTTGCAACAATTTGGAAAACGAGTAGATTAGGAGCATGCACAAGCTTAAACAGTCCATAGATAAGTCATTTGTTATTTTTATTTTATCTCAAGAATTTCATTTTCGTATTACATAACCACATACACTATCTGTTGCAGACAAAAAATTGATTTGTTGTTACGAACATTATCGCGCTCAGCGCAACGTCCACTATATCAGAGTATATTATCCCCATTATGAAGATTTATGATACAATCAAAAGTTAGATGGTTTTTACCTGTAATATTAGCTGTGGGTATACTATTTTACTATATTTGGCTTTCAATCATTTAATAGAAATAGATAACTGGAAATTAGTTTATGAAAGTATTATAAATATTGTAATGCTAATGTTACATACATATTGTCAGTTGGTGACTGCACGGCGTCTATTACTAATTAATTATATCATCGTTGTTACATTCCGTCGTGTTTTCTTAAATAGCAAATTATCGTGTATAATTCAAAACATACAATGTTTGACCTTATTTTTGATATGATAATAAATGTATTCCTCTAGGTCATGACCTTAACTCAACCTTAACCTTCCAAGTTTATGACAAAATTTTTTATACCATGAATGGATCTCATAATAGACCTCCATAGGGTTTATCACTGCATTTAATTGGGGAATAAATATATTTCTTTGATAGCTGCTGTAACACATGGGAAGCTTACTTGGATTGAAGACTGATATTTTTCTATCTTGTTTAAATCCATGTTAAGCCAAATATAGCTGAAATATTTCAATGTTAACAAGTAATGACCAGATGTGAGACCGATATTTTCGAACATACAATTTTCTTAGTTTATGTTCATAGTTTTTCATGTGTGAAATTGTCAACCTATTGCAAATAGTACCGCATAGAATGAAGACGTTCATTTGCACATGATTATCTGTCTGTCCTTCTTTGACCAAGCCTTATTTGAGGTTTCATTTCGTGGAAAACGAATCTGAGATGACAATGCTGCACTATGGGATAGCTATTGCATATTCTTTGGCACCCTTCTGTAAAACGCAAATGCATTGAATATATGAAAAAACTGATTATTTATCAGAAACCAAAAAGAGTTGTTGACAAAAGCGGTCAAATAATAAAAATGCACGTAACAGCACGGTTGTGAAGTTTTGAAATTGAAATACAGTCATTGTAACGCTAACAGCCTAAAACGCCCCTAGTAGACATCGGAAGGTTGCATTAATGGACAAGTACATTGATTGATAATGAAAATGATAACTTACCCGGAATTAGCAGCTGCTGTAGATTCGATACTCAGTATCCTGATCCTGGTGGCGATATCCTTGAGGGTTTGTGTGTCCGTCATGTTGCAGCAAGGTGCTATACGTTGTCTCAGCAGCAGTGACCGGATAAGTGAGCCTGCACACTTCAGATCAAATAGAATCGTTATCGAGTGCTACTTGTTTGATGTTACTTGAATGATAACCCAGGAAAATTAGATTTGTTACGATTATCCTATATGACTGGTCAATCGTGACACCTTGCCTTTTTTGTATTCCTACCCCCAACCTAATGGAATTGAAAGTTTGAATGAAGTTATCGTTTCCTCCATCTAACAAAATTCTCAAAACCTTATCAACGGAATTTGTTTCGCTTAACGCTCTGATATTCGTTTTCCTGTTAATGCAAACCTTAGGATTTTCTTGACGATAATCGATTCAATGTACATATATCAATTTTGTAGAAAATTTGAAATCAATATTTCCTATATAGCGCTGGTAAAATAACGAAATAAAAGTACTTTTTCAAATGGTTCTCCTTCTTTTGTTACGAAAACTTGCTCCGAGGTAAAATTTGCTTTAGACTACAGTGACAACACTATATCTAAACGGTGTTTCTCATACGTTGCAGAGATATTTCGGGATCTGTGATAATCCAAAACAAATATTAGACTTGAAACAAAAAATACGCTTTTTATTTTTTAATACGCTATTCGCACTTTCATTTTTTCAACTTTACTGAGCGTGTGAAAAAGCAATGTCTTGCAATAATTCTCCATAATTTTCTATGACTGTAATGTCGCATTCACATATTGAGCCCACTTATACTAACATTAATCTGCGAATGCTCATGTCCGACCTATCCCAAAAAGGGATCTACGACCGATCCTTACAACTAGGCCTTCACCTCTGCTTCCTATTATAAGTAAGGTGTTGGAGAGGTGCATAAATCGCGATGCTTTTGATTACCTCGAACGTCACGGTCTGGTTAGCGGCAGGCAATATGGTTTTCGGCACCAGCGATCCACAGGGGACCGCCCAGCATACCTCACGCAATTGTGGAGTAAACTCATCCAGTCTTATAGTGAAGCTAATTAATGTCATTGCTGTTAATATCACGAAAGCGTTCGATCAGCTGTGGCATGCTGCCTTTCGCGAAAACTTCCATCCTATGGGCTTCCAGAGGAGCTTTGCAAATGGGTGCCTGACTTTCTCTCTGGTCGCAAGATATCCGTCGTAATTGACGGGTTCTCCTCTTCATCCCACAACATCAACGCGGGTATTTCCCAGGAATTCGTGATGGCTGCGACACTGTTCCTCTTACACATCAACAACATCCTTTCTTGTACGATCCATTTAATCCGCAGCTTTGCTGAGTACGTGCAGGAATTCAGGGTGCTGGTGAGCTGGAAGAAAGAAGACAAGCTAGCAGCGACTTCCTCTCTGACCAGAGTTCTGGAGATTATCACTGCTAGGGGACGCAACAATCTTCTACAGTTTATTGTTTCCAAAACACAGTACCGTACCTTGACGAACAGCCAAAGAGCCGTTCATCTCGGCTGGTCGGAGTCCAGATCACCGATGACTGGCATCTTGTCATTAGCGGCAGCTTCTGGTAAAAAACTAGGCTATCTGCTTAGGGCTAACAAGTACTTTTCTCCACACGACCTCTTGACTGTATACACGGCCCACAACCCAGGAAAGACCCAGCCTCGAGTATTGCTCAGATGTTCAGGGTGCTGCGCCCCGACAATGTTGTTCAAAGGAGAGTTTTCCGACTGCTCGATGGCTCTTCTCTAGCAGACAGTCTCAGAACACTTTCGCACTTCATACATCCAGAACTGGCCGATACGGCCGCTCTTTTTCCCTAGGATGTTGAGAGATGGCATGCCATACCATGTTGGCGCCATCTTTATGGATGACATTTTCCGTACATTTTGTATGGCGTCAGCTCCTGAGCTGCAGGTTACAGTGCTCGCTACTTGTGGCTGAGTTTTTTCGAATAATGGACGAAACTGTGGATGGATCTAGCCACTACTGGCTGCGACTGCTGGCCTAGTCTCTGGCAACACTTAAATAACTACCGTAATAGATGCACAGCTATGATGTTTTCTTTTAAAATATTCCTCGGCAGATACAACCTTGTATTTAGTGTACCAATCAATGCGTATATTTTATTAGCGTTAAAACAGTTTTTCTCTCAAATCTTTCTAAAAAGGCTACATACTGGATTATAAGGATGTTTGGATTCACCCAAGGAGTTGTTTATAGTTATGAGCTCTATGTTCCGAGACCTTGAGAATTTTTCGTCAAATCACCATGTGATTCCTGACCGTTCAATTCGGTTTTCGGTCCGAGCATAGCACCGAGCTACAGGCAGTCAGGCTGGTGGAACATGTAACCAGAGGGTTCACCCTCAGCTTGTGTACTGGAATCTTGCTTTTGGATGTTTCAAAAGCCTTTGACAAGGTGTGGCACGCGGGCCTCTTCTATAAGCTAATCCAAAAGGCTTTTCCTTTTTGGCTTTTAAAATTACTGAAATTCTTTCTTGAAGGGAGGAAGTTTCGGATCAAAATTAACAATGTTTTGTCAACAACACGGCCAGTACGGGCCGGTGTTCCTCAGGGTTCGGTCCTAGGACCAATCCTTTCATCGCTTTTCATCCATGATGTCAACCCCAGCAACTGAAGTCTACCTCTATGCTGACGACCAGTCGTGTACTGGTGATGTGGTTCACTATGGGTTGCAGAATGCGGTGGACGAAGTACTAGAGTAGGCGGAACGGTGGCTGATAAAAATTGAATATTCGGAAACGCAGGCTATTTATTGTACCAAAAACGTCGCGGCCCCCCAGCAGAAGTTTCTGAAGACGGAAATCGTGTACCATGGACAAATTCTGCCAAGTATCTCGGTGTCACCCCTGATAAAGGCATGGCCTGGCAGAAACATACAGCACCCATAAAAACAAAATTCCAAATTGCGTTTCGGCAACTATATCCTTTGTTATGTAGATCCTCCAAATTGAGTTTGACCAACAAAGTTCGACTATATAAAATGGTTATTAGACCAGCCATTACTTATGCTTGTCCTGCTTGGTGTTTTCTTGCCAAGACACACATGCAAAGTCTTCAAGTACTGCAAAAAAGGGCTTTGCGGACAATTTGCAACGCTCCATGGTATGTCTCAAATGAGACACTACACAGAGACCTTGACATTCCTTACTTGAGCGATTGAGTCAAGCTTCAGGCGCAGCGACGTTATAGTCAAGCGGAATCGCACAGCAACCCCCTGTTGCCTGACTCAGTGGACTACACAGTGAAGCAAGTTCGTAAACGGTCAAGGCCACGGCTCGCACTTTAATCAAAAGCTAGCGCGAATTTTTAGTAAACTCAAAATTACACTCTAACAAAACCGAATCAAAAATTTTTTTAGTTCACCTCAAAATCAATCCGTGTACCAAGTCAAAAAGCCTGTGTTTCCTCTTAGACTAACCACATCTGATTTCTTTGCTCTTCTCTTCTCTTTCCCTTTTTCTTTTTCCTTGACTTTGTTTGGTTTCTGGGCAACCAGGACTGACAGATTCGACTAACGTACATTAGACAGTGACTAATGGGCAAAGGTCCTACGGACCGCCCAGACAAGCAAATGACGAATAGTAGCTATTTGTTCCATTTTTGAGCTCTTAAATCCTGCACTATAACGTATTGTGTTGAGAAATACTTACAAGCAGTTTGGTGGTGTGAAAGGTTATCATCTTGTATTAGGTAATTTTAAAATACTACTGCATATAACATTAATTCACTTTTCAGATTTTCTCCCTTCCTAAAATGAAAAAGTGGCATCTGGCATAATATATGTTGTTGACAATGGTGTCAAAAGGGCAACGTCATATTTTGTCATTTGTTAGTTAGAAGTAGGAATAGGCATTTTTATATGACACTTCTAGTTCCGAAGGCCTTGACAGTGTCCGAAAAGTGCTAGGAAGACAACAGAGAGATGGTTTTTGAAGCAATACTGTTTGGTGAAAAACAAATGCCCATTGGGGATCGAAACATGGTCATGACCTACCAAAGTGTTTTATAATGAAAATTCTCGAGCATGATAAAAAAATGTAAAAATCCCTTAACCTTTTTTTATACGTTTTTCAGCTATCTGGACACTTTGTAGATTTGTCTAAAACATTGTAAAGCTTGGTGACTTTGAAATCACTCACGTGCTTTTCAGAAGTCTGCACTTACAGAGTGGCCGATATGCGACTGACTGGTTTGTGAAATGAAATAAGATACGACCATTTTTTTTTCATCTTAATGTTTTATTGAAACTGAGGAATTATGTATGAAAAATAATATCTGACAAATTTTCTATCACTTTTTGGTAGGTTTCGGGAGGAATATTTTCAATTGCTTCCTTAATATTGTTCTTCAGCTATTCTACAGTATTTGGTTTATTGGCATAAACCCTATTTTTCAAATATCCCCATCAAAAAGAGTCAGAAGCCGGTGACCTTGGTGGCCAGTTGACATCACCAAATCGAGAAATTAAACGTCCCGGAAGTATTGTTCGCAAAAGATTCATTGTTTCATTAGCTGTGTGACAAGTTGCTCCGTCCTGCTGGAACCGCATAATTTGCAAGTTAAATTGTTGGATTTGAGGAGCCAGAAAGTTTTGCACCATAGCACGGTAGCGCTCGCCAGCAGCATGGTCTAGGAAATAAGGTCCACTGACACCTCCATACCAAACACCGCAACAAACTGTAAGTCGAAGGGGATGTAGTGGTCGTTGATGGATGACACGACGGTTCTCTAATGTCAAGATAAATATCGTTATTTTAGGTATTAAGCTGCAATATTGCATGACTGTATAACGATGTCTGGTAGACATCTCCGGGCGCTCCACCACACTTTCACGAACTCTCTCCATATTTTCCGGAGTACGAACAGTTAGAACACGGCCGGACCTTGGAAATTCTTTAACTTCACCTGTTTGTTCAAATTTCCGCACCAACTGACGAATGGTGTTGATACTGGGCCCATTATTTCGACCGAAATCTTGTCGTAGCTTTCCGAATTGTTGCAACAATCGACTCATTACTTAAGTATGACGTTTTAACAATTCAGACGTGCTGTGGGATCGTGTAGCGCTCCACGATCCAATTGGATACATGTGCCTTGAACAACTGCTATGGCGCCACCTACTGAAATGCGTGTATCAAAAAATGGCGCGCAGTTTAAATCAGTCAGCTATATATTGGCCAGCCCAGCACTTTAAAATTTCAAAACTGCGGCTCAAAACTATACTGGAATATATTTTAAATGAAATGGGGGTTTATGTGGTATCTCATTTTTAAGGTCTCTGCGAGTTTTTCTATAGCCCAAAAATATGGAATGGCCTTTTGTTGGTGGCGGACTAATAGGCGGTCAGATTAGAACGTTTATGGAATTTGAAAAAATTGTGAAATTTTCAGTTGTTTTTAATTGATCGTGCCATGTTTTGTGGCGCATTTAGATATACTCTCCTAAAGGAAGAAGCATAATATAACATATTGTAGCGTTTTTATAATTACTTCCTGAGTTATATTCCATAAACAAAAATGCTTTGATAAGTCGCCCGTCTTACATTTTGGAAGATGTATACCCTATAGCTATTAAGTACTGACAAGGATATTTAAAATGAGATATCACATAACCCCCTATCTTATTTGAAAATTTTCATCCTCCGCTTTGACGTCAAAACATAGCCTTTATGCATTAATTTCATCACTCACCCGAATAATTGGGGGGACCATTTTGAAACGCACTGTATATTTCATCGATCACCACGATCTGTATTATTTCGTGCCAAAAATGCTAAATAGATGTACCTATTATAAATACGTGGGCAATACTGAGTCAATCTACTTGACTCCATATCTTCCATCTACCAGGTTAACAATTTAATCGCCATTCGCGGAGCCAGGGTATGCTGCACCATGGAGTGAACCATTTCATTGAATGTATCGAAAAGTTTTTCTAACGACCCTCATCCGTCACCGGGGCTTATCAGCAGTTCTTTATTGTTCGCGCTGCTATTATCAATACCCACTAGCCCGAATCCTCTGAGATCTCGGAGATGGATGGATTTTTTATAGTCTCTGACCATATTAGAATTTCTATTCTGCTCTTAGAAATTGCGATGGGTCGGATTTTATGTATTAAGTCTTCTCCAGAGAATTTAACCTAAAGATTCGTAAGACAAACTAACCAAATGGCATAATCAGTCTTCCATTGGAGTTGCTACCCAGGGCATTAACTGTTGCCTGAGTGCTGCTTTTAAAGCAGCAAATGAAAACTGTTAAATCTGAATCCCTAGTCCAAGAATCTATTCAAGTGGCCAAGACCAATGGAAAAAACAATGTGTTGATAGATAGTACCACGATCGTGTTCCTAATTCTAAGAACGAAAGCACGTGTTCAAGATGGTTCAAGATGCTTGAAGCACAGTCAAGTCAAAATGTGAAATAGACTAAAAATATAGTAATATAATCTTTCATCCAACCATGGACAACTGTCTCAGGTAGAACAACCAACGAAATAAATAAATAAACGTCAACATTAATATTATTACAACTGTACCTTACACCAGCTACTTATCCTAATCACATAATATTATATTTTCACATTATTATACCCTATTTTCGGATGAGCTGTCTATGGTTGGTCGTCTATGATTAGACAAACGAGAGATATATTACTAGTTTGTTCAATGTCGAGTAGGCCGTTCTACTATAGCACCAGAATCGATGGTATCTAGCCGCCACAGTGGTAACCCAGCTGACAGTGCAAACTGTAATATACGTATAGTTACAACAGACAACAAGGTGTATTCTATTTCACTCTCTCAGTAGTCGATTCTGGATATAAATGGCACCTTGTGATGTCTTATTGTGAAATAAAGGTATGCTAATTCATCGATCAAGTATACTGGGTAGCCATATGAGGAATCTGAACAAATACCATACGTATATCTCGTTGATTGAATGAGATAGAGCCTGGAGAAGTTGAGCTCAAAAGTAAATTTATGATCAACGTAGATTTTATCTGAAATGCATAAAGAGTGGATAGTTGTTGGGTAGTATTCTCCCAGATATGAGAGCATCACTTCAAGTGACCCCTAATCCGCACGGCTATTATGTAAAAAACCTATAAAGCGTAAAAAACAATAAAATGTCATCTTGCAAACTAGATACTTTTCAGGGTGCAAATTGTTCATTCCACGTTTGCTCGCTATGAGCGCTGTGAGCGGAATGTGGAGGAATGACTCAACTACACGCATTATTGGTTGCAGAAAGCAGCTATATTTTTTGTGAAGCCGAGTAGTCTGTATTGTTTATCTGTGAGATGTGAAAGAAAGGAAGTTAGTTGAGTAGCAAGTTAGCATCTGGATGATTATAACCTTTTCACTTTCATGAATGTTTCTGTCTGTAGCATATTCTTCCACCAGTTCTTTCTCCAACCAGCGATTTTGTCTTCTTATATCTTATTTTTGAAATTCAGCAAATTTGCATAATATGTAATTTCCAGAATGACTAAAAAAAAGTGGACGCGCAACTGATTTCTAGCGTTGAATCTTAATTAAGTGTATTTAAGACAAGAAAGCAATGGAATTATCATCGCCACATATTATTAGCACACAAATCCTCACTAAGCATTGCCGATTCTTTCTTGCTATAGTATACAACTTACAGCTTCGACTTCCTATAATGCCATCTCAGATTTTACATCACATCAGAGCCAAACAATAATAACTGAAGCATCATGATGCTTAGGCAACACGTACAACTACAAAACGCGTTCACAACATGTGCTAAGTCAACATATTGTAGAAAATCCTAGATAATGTCAGGAAAAAGTCAATATAATGTAAAAAAATCGAGATTATGTCACTTTTTCAACGGCTTTGGATGGTTAAAGGCTTCTCTACTGTCTGTTCAAGCCTCATTTACTCCACGACTCAACAAACGTGAGTATTTGATCGATTTATTCGCTTGAAACTGCCTGCACAGGCATTTGTGACGGGCAGGGGTATTATGTAAAAAAACTAAAAAAATGTTAAAATGTCATCTTGCAGTCTAGGTAGTTTTTAGAGTACAAATAGTTCATTCCAAGTTTGCTCACTACGATCGCTGTTCGCTGACGGTTAAGGTTGCTTTAGTGTTGACTTACAGCTACGAAACGAGTTTATAACAAGTGTATAACAGCTTGTAGAAAAACCTACGTTATATCACAAAAAACCTACGAAATGTCAAAAAGTGACAAAATGTCACTATTCAAGATACGTAACAAAGTGTGCGCAAATTTGAGCGTCACACGCTGATACTTGTTTTGTGGAAAGTAAATCAGATTTGAATACACATAAGCTTCAAACATAGAATTCCATGATTTCCATGCAAAATGGAGCCACACATGTAGAAAGTACTTACTCTTTACTGACGTTTCGGCCAGCACGGTTTAAAACTGGTCAAAATGATAATGACAATATGTTATATAGTTATTCGTCGTTCAGGTGAGCTCATTTGCTTTTTCCGATACAGTACAACAACAACTTGAACGACAATGCTGTTTTGGATGTACAGGGTGCGGCAGAGAGGACGGACGTTTTTGGGATGGGTAGTACTCTCCGCCTCCATCTACGAGAGAGGTGGGGAGGGTGCCGTTTGACTCGTGAGATCCTAGCATTATTTTATCAGTTGTCGTTATGGAGCGTTGGACGGTGGAGCACCGCGTTTTCGCCTATGATTGTTTCGTCCGAAATAATGAGTCAGTCGTCGTCGTACAGCGTGAGTTTCGTCGCCACTTCAACATTCATCGGAATAGAGCTGTTCCCTCTCGAAACACCATCCTTCGTTGGGTTGAATCACTCCACAGGCATGGTGAACTGATCAACAGAAGACCAAGAGGTGCGCCGCGAACAGTTCGAACTCCTGAAAATGTCGAACGCATTCGACAGGTCTTTGTTCGCAGTCAGACTCGATCTGCCCGGAAACATGCTGCTGCACTTCGCCTTAGAGATCGTTCGGTAAGGCGAATTTTGCATATGGATCTCCGCTTTCATCCCTACAAATTGGCCATTGTGCAACAGTTACAGCCCGGAGGTTATGCACAACGAATGAACGATCAAAATGAGAACCTCATTTTCTTTATGAATGACGAAGCCCACTTTCACCTAAACAGCATGGTTAACCAGCAGAATTGTCGTTATTGGGCTAATGAAAATCCGCAACAGTTACACGAAAGACCGCT